AATATGGAACATTGGTCGCATTTAAAAGCAAGTTACCCTTTTATTTTAAATGGAACACCCGGTATATTATTCCGATATTCAATAAGGAATTCATGTCTCTTCAAAACACTATTAAGGTTGCCTACCCCTCAAATAAAGATTTTGCTAGATATTTTCATTTATATGATTTAGTGTCAGTAGATCTTTATGATTTGATAAAATATAGGTGGCTGTGGTATGTCTGACGTTACTTTAACATAGCTATCTAATTTTAGTCCAACTTTAACAACTAGTTATCATTTTGTGTCAGTTAAAACAAAAAAAAATTCTCAGAAATTTGCCGAAATTGCAAACTTATCATACATCAGAAAGAATTAATAGAATACTTAAGTTCTCCTGATTTTATCTAGTTTGGGCTTTTTTATATGGATATGTTAAAGACAGTGTTTACAAAACTCGACCAACTAATGTCGACAACATGAGAGAAATGATTGTAGTTGCTTTTCGAAGTAGAACTCCACATATGCATTTTTAAATGGAAAGATCTTTTAAAAGACGGTCATTTTATGCAGTACAGAAAAGAAGCATTTTGAGCATTTGATTTCACCTAGCTAATTTTGTCACATAATTATAGGTTTATATCTACTTTTTAATTCTGTAATAATTAAAATATTGTCAAGGTGTATTACTGGTTGCATAACTGCATACTGCTAAAAAATCGCAATGTGGAAGGAACCTGGCGCATTCGCCAGAAAGTAAAGAAAATTATAGAATTCTTTAGAAAAATCTAGAAACAACCGCCAGGGGGTATATAAGGCCCGCGCTTTGACAGTTGGACAAGTTTAAAGTTTGAAGTTTGAAGTCTGAAGTCTGAAGTTTGAAAATACAGCGAAATACCGTTAGAGTAATAGTAGTTGCATAAGTTGTGTTGTAAATAGTATAAGTTGTGTGTACAGAGTGAAACAAATAAATTCGTTAAGTATTTTATCGTGAGTTTAAATAGTGGACCCACGGAATCCGTAACAATTGGTGTCGGAAGTGCGATTCAAGAGAATTTTAAGAAGAAATTAAGTGGATTAGAAGATTTTTAGACCGAATTAGAGTATTTTTATGGTTGGTACAAGGGAGCAGGCGAAGAAAATGGAGGAAGTAAGCAAATTATTGGGCGATTTTATGGAGAATATGAGAAGAGAAAAAGCAGAAGATCAAGAAAGACTCCGTAAAGAACGAGAAGAAGAGCGAGCCCGACTAGAAAAAGAGAAAGCAGAAGAACAAGACCGCTTACTGAAAATTCTAGAAAATCAAGAAATTAAACAGGACCGGCTTGAGAACATTTTCGAAGATTTGAAAATTCAACGACAACAAGATAAACAAGAAGAACAGTACCGACTTGAGAAAATATTAGGTAATTTAGAAATTCGTTTGGAGGAGCGACGTCATAGAGAAAGACAAGAAGATCAAAATCGTCTTAAAAAGAACTTCGAAGATCTGAAAAAAAGACAAGAAATACACCTTCAAGAAGCCGTAGAAGATCTGGAGGAGCGCCTTCAACAGAAAATGGAAAAATTAGAGAAGGACCTACAGAAGACCAAGGCACAAGCAAGGACACCTGGCGTTCCTGGAACTGCAAACCTCAAGGCCCCGACCTACGATGGACAAACCACCTGGACGATGTACCACCGCCAGTTCGAAGCAGCCGCCGCTGCCAACGGATGGTCCGACCAGGACAAAGCAGCGGCACTTGTCATCGCGCTGCGTGGCCCTGCCTTGGAACTGCTGCAAACTATTCCTGCAGCCCAACAGCAGGAATACGAAACATTGGTTGCTGCACTGGACAGAAGATATGGTGACCAACATCGACGTCAGCTTTACCAGGCCCAGATCAAGACACGCCTGCAGAGGTCCGGAGAGAGTCTGCAGGAATTTGAAGCAGACTTACGTCGGCTGGTACACCTAGCGTATCCTGAAGCACCGGAAGGATTTAGGGAGGAACTCGCTGCTCAGTGCTTTATCAGGCGCAGAGGGCGCTGCAAATATCCTGATTTTCTACCAGCAGCGAAGCACTGGTCAGGGCGCTGGAAATCGAAGCTGCTTTTAGCGCCATCCCTAGACCGAAGATAAGATCGGTAACGGTAGAGGAACAGCCCGAGAGTACCCACAGAAGTTTGGAGGAGATGTGTAGAAAATTCGACAAACTATGTGAGCTACTAATAAACAAGTAAGTCAACAACACCCAGACAGAGAACCAAAGAAGATTCCAGGACATGAGGTGCTATGGATGCGGCAGGAATGGCCACATCAAACGGTATTGTCGCATCCAAATGCGATTCCATTCACCATCCAGAGAACATCGGCACATCGGAAGATCCCAGGACATAAGTTGCTATAGATGTGGCAGGAATGGCCACATCAAACGGGATTGCCGCGTCCAAATGCGATTCCGTTTACCATCGAGAGAACATAGGCACCCGGAAATCAACACTAATGAGCGAGTATTGGCTGAAGAAAACAGAGCCCCTAGGATGTTTTCCGTTAGGAGTCTAGGAAAAACCGCTGACAGTTTGGTGATCAACGGGAAGGTCAATGGTAGAAGAAATCGAATGACTGTGGACACAGGCGCTATGGTATCGTTGGTGCAGACTAACTCAGTGCGAGGATTGAAGATGATGCCTCTTAGAAGAAGAGTGTATTTACGTACAGTTACGGGGGAAATGGCCGTTGTACGGGGAGAGGCTTTCATGGAATTGGAGTTAGGGAATTTGAAGTTTCGGCATAGCGTTTTAGTGGCGGACATTGAAGATGATTTTATCATGGGTATGGATGTGATCAGTCAACATGGTTTTTCGTTTGATCACCATAGAAACATCCTGAAAATCGGAAATGAGGAATTTTCTGTATCTAAAGAGAAGAGACCAGGAAATATGGAAGAAATATTATCGAAAATTGTGATGATACCTGGTGATACCAAGAAGACTGTGTTCGGGAAACTAGAGAAAACCGTTGGGTGCCGTGTAGGACGGGTACAAATTATCGACAACGAGCCAGATCGACGACGAGCTACTTTGGGCAAGAAAATGAAACATCGCGAAAGCACTATCAGAGTAAGGAATTTTAAACTGAGAACTGACGAACAATGGACGACGATACAGTTGAGGAAAGATCAAATGGAAGATCCAGACATCGGAGCAATACTACGGCTCAAGGAAGGTAACGGCGAGAGACCACCGTGGCAGGATATTGCGGACAGAGGGCTCGTTTTCAAAGCTCTCTGGGCTCAGTGGAATTCACTGGTGATTGAGAATGGATTGATAAAGCGCACGTGGGAAAGTGCGGATGGCAGGACAGTAACAACTCAGTTACTGGTACCAAGGAAGAAAGTCACCCAGGTATTGGAAGAAATTCACGGTGGTAAAACTGGAGCCCATCTTGGAGTAAACAAGACCTTGAGTAAGCTGAGAGACCGTTTTTACTGGGTGGATTATTGCGAAGATGTTAAGAAATGGTGTCAACGTTGTAAGATTTGCGCAGCTAGACAAAGACCAAGTACTCGATCTGGGGAAGAAATGGAACAGGATAGCGTTGGACTGTCGTTCGAAAGAATCGCTAGGAAGGAAAGATTATTGGACATTCATAAGGCCGTTAGAAGTAAGATTGCGCTAGCCAGTGACCGGATGAAAGCTCATTACGACCTCAGAGCTAATTCTACGGGATTTCAACAGGACGATAGGGTATGGTTGTATAACCCACAGCGCAAGAAAGGAAGGTCCCCAAAGTTAACTCCAGCATGGGAAGGTCCTTATACAGTCATCAAGAGGATAAATGATGTTGTGTACCGGATTCATCGCAGCCCTAGAAGTAAGATGAAAGTAGTTCATCTGGATCGATTGAAGAGATACCAGACAGGAAACCTTGACGGGACGATCAAATTTTGAGAAGGGGCAATGTCAAGGTGTATTACTGGTTGCATAACTGCATACTGCTAAAAAATCGCAATGTGGAAGGAACCTGGCGCATTCGCCAGAAAGTAAAGAAAATTATAGAATTCTTTAGAAAAATCTAGAAACAACCGCCAGGGGGTATATAAGGCCCGCGCTTTGACAGTTGGACAAGTTTAAAGTTTGAAGTTTGAAGTCTGAAGTCTGAAGTTTGAAAATACCGCGAAATACCGTTAGAGTAATAGTAGTTGCATAAGTTGTGTTGTAAATAGTATAAGTTGTGTGTACAGAGTGAAACAAACAAATTCGTTAAGTATTTTATCGTGAGTTTAAATAGTGGACCCACGGAATCCGTAACAATATGTTTTAAACCTGTATATTTTTATTACCGTTGAGTATTTTACTCTACATCCTTTAATTTTTGTTAAATTAACAAAAGATATATCACAGCCATCCCTGGATTGTTTCAAATAATAAAGATCTACTGACGCAAAATCATAAAAATTCAAAAAATATCTAGGAAAATCTTTGAGTGGTAGACAACATTGATAATATTTTGAAGATATATGAATTCACCATTGAACACCGGAATAATATACTGGTTGTTCCATTTAAAATAAAAGAGTAACATGCTTTTAAAAGTGACTAATTTATATTCCATATTAATTTTGTCCCACCCTGTATAACTTTTCGGGTCAAATTTTAATTTGGTTTGGTCAACTAAAATTTAGGTAGCTGTTATTGAAATTTAAAATTTACTCTTCATTTTCACGAAATGTGAAATATTTCAAAATCCTTACATTTTAGGTATATGCTTTTTTAATAAAACACCTCTATTTTTTTCTTAGAATCCGAAAATCAATTAATATATAGGGTGTTGCATTACAAAAAAGACAACTTTGATGTGTAACTTTTTTTGGAGACATCCTGTATAACTCTATATATTTTTATAAAATGCTTTCAGTTAACCTACATGTGCTGCCAAAATTTCATTTCTATATAAACTATCGTTCTCCTTGGAGCCTCCGCATCGTATGAAAGACGCCACCCTGTACTACAGGAAATTTTATTCTTTTATTGTTTTAGTCGATTTGGAGTGCTTTAGAGGAAGTCGAACTAAAAACAGTCGTTAACGACTTACCTCAAGGGTTAGAAAGTAAGATGTGTGAAGGCGGAAGCAACTTCAGTGTTGGCCAGAGGCAACTAGTATGTCTGGCCCGTGCAATAGTCCGAAAAAACAAAATCCTAGTTCTCGACGAAGCAACAGCAAACGTAGATCCTTACACCGACGCGTTGATTCAAACGACAATTAGAAGAAAGTTCTCCAGTTGTACCGTGCTAACTATCGCTCATAGATTGCACACTATAATAGACTCAGTCAAGGTGCTCGTCATAGATGCCGGAAGAATGGTTGAATTTGGACATCCTCATGAATTGTTACAAAATACAGAAAATGGAGTTTTCTACGAATTAGTACAACAAACTGGTCGAACTATGGCAGAAAATCTAATAGGCATTGCTGAAGAGGTAGCATGGTAAAATATTATATTGTATCTGTTATAAATGTTTTTTTTTCTGTTGTAGAGTTACAATAATTCTATAAGTAATCAACACTAACGTTTGTATCGAAGAAAATTGGAAACACGAAAAGTTTAATCGAAACAAAAGTGTACCCCCCCCCTCGTAAACACTTCAATTCAATTATTATATCTACAGGGTGTCCCACTTAAGATGGATACAAGCCAATATCTTGGTTGTTTGTTGAGCGATCTTTTTCATTTTTGGCGGGAGGCTGTATGGCTATAAGCAGGGGCGGCTTGCCCTATGAGGCAGATGAGGCAGTGCCTCACCAATACATTTGAAAAATTACACTTATTAATCGATACATCTTTAATCACAATTTTATATTTTTTTCCCTATTTGCATTAATAATAATTGTATTTTTTAACCGTCATTCTAGAATAAATTACGTCGATGGTATTCCTTTAAACGCGCTTCCTATCCCATATGCGACAAACTCGACGATGTATATCCATCTCATTTGTTCTTTAAGAGGTATATGTGCAGAGGTTTGCCTCTCGCCTTTCCTTGTCTAGCGTATTGTGGTATATCGCACTGACGGAGCGACAGCGTTCACTGGAATCTTAACTCTGTAGAATGAAAAGAAAAAGCATAGGCAAAACCTTTAGTTGAAGAGAGATAAAATGCATGGAGTAGTAGCGCGTACTAGAGTATTACTCTTTTTACTGATTATTGTACATATAAAGTAAATACCTAAAAAGTGGGCAGTGACTTATTGTTGATTGATATGATGATTTAGAGGGACCATGCATCATCAGAGGACTTCCCCAGGTAAAGTTTTTCGAATCATTTCTAGATAAATTGTGTATAGTCAAAAAGTAAAGCGACCTGTTACAGATTTCGTTTTGTTTTATTTTTATAGGATGGGTAGAAAAACAAAATTTTACCATACAGAGTAAAATATAAGAGAAAATATCCTGAGGTCGCTTTGATAAAAATTTACTGTTGCAATAACCCTATGTAATAGGTACCGTATGATCGAGAAAAAACGGCGTCAGCGTTGGCTATGAAATGAAGATCGCTGTTATTTTATATGGGAAATATCATCGATCGTCATTTCCCAGCCAACTGGAGGCCGTTTTTTTTTTTCGATCATACGGTATAATACTGCGAATTATATTACATAAGGCTATTTCCGCAACTGCTAAAAATTTAGAAATATTTTAAATACAAAAATGTGCGCTTTTTAAGTCTGGGGTATCTAAAATACTAAAAATAATATACAGTGTGTATTGCATTTAAAAAAAAACTGAGATATAGTATTATAATATTGCAATATTGGCCGCGCCATAAAAAATCCCTGTGAATGTGAATTTTTCTCTGATTTCTTCTTTTATCCGATAGCGAGGTATGTAGCTATATTATACGTACTTAAGCAATAATATATCAATAAGTTAAATTCACTCCAGGTTTTTACCACTTTTTAAAAGATGAAATTTTTCAAATATGAATTACATGGAAATCCCGCATAGGTATATAGTTCTTCAAATAAATCAATAGTGTGATGTATGCTGAATTTTATGCTGAACCCAATTCTGTACAGAAAAATGGTAATGCGATTGCAATTTTAAAGAAAATATTTTTTTAGGATATGTACTTTTTTTTATATAGAACTTCCTCGTACTAATGGCCACCCTATATACATACTAATAAAAATTCTCTTCTAATGTGCCTCACCATCTTCCAGTGCTACGAGCCGCCCCTGGCTATAAGACGTACATTTTGCCCTGGGTAAGAAATGTCATACCTCATTACGTTTTAATGGGGTTTGATATTTTTCGACTCAAGAGTCAACTACCCTTAGGACAGTATTTATTTCAAATCTAATAAATTATATTGAAACCTCCTTACACAAGATACTTAAGTTCTAATTTTGATAAATATTGATACAGGGTGTGTTATTAAAATAAGACATTTTAATTTTTATTATTATTTTTTAAGTACTTACGACGCCACTGGATAAACAACTGGTTTATTATCAATACATAATCGATTTAAATTTTCAGATAGCTTCCATAATAATTAAGATACGATACAAAAAGTAAATATTTTCAATTTATTTTGTTTTTATTAAGTTTGCTAATACAAATGAATAAAATGAGTTACAAAATAATTTAAAAACTCAGTTTTCAATGGAATCTGAAATATGATTTTTATTCGTTTTATTGAGGAATATTTTTAAAAATCTGAATAGTTAGATATTTAAAACAATCACTATTAATTTTGAAAAATATGCTCTAAACAAAGATTTATAAAACTATAACGAACTAAAAGTCAACATCTTCGACCAAACTTAAATCGATTATTAATTGATAACTAACTGGGTATAATTGGTTATTGATAATAAATCAGTTGTTTATCCAGTAGCGCCGTAAGTACTTAAAAAAATAATAATAAAAATAAAAATGTCTTATTTTAATGACACACCCTGTATCCATATTTATAAAAATTAGAACTTAAGTACCTTAGGTAAGGAGGATTCAATATAATTTATCAGATTTGAAATAAAACTGTCGTAAGGGAAAGGGTAGTTTACTCTTGACTCGAAAAATATCAAACCCCAGTAAAACGTACGTCTTTGAGGTATCGCATTTCTTACCCTGGGCAAAATGTACGTCTTATAGCCATACAGCCTCCTGTCAAAAATGATAAAGATCGCCCAACAAACAACCAAGATATTGGCTTGTATCCATCTTAGGTGGGACACCCTGTATAAGTCCCTTAATTATTAATATGTAACTTATGATTTGTATGCATTAATTTATATTATCATTAAATAATTCAAAACGCGTGTTTATATATTTACCTAATTACATTCAACATACGTTAATACGTACTTTTAATTACGTCATCGAGGGCGCAAAAATTAAATTCATTGTTGCCAACGATGGACCAGAATATGTCCATATGTCGCTGGGCTGACTAAGTGGAATTTAAATTTCCTGCTAGCGACTCATGTGGTGAACTTTTTCAAAAATTTGGGAGCTACGATCACCTCTGATAACAACATAACACAAGAAATTAACAACAGAATACCAGGACGAAATCGCTGCTTGTTTTCACATCACACAATAATGAAATCGAAAAACGTATCCCACCGTACGAAAATAATAATCTATAAGCAGTTATAAAACCCATTGTAGCGTTTTATTTAAAATTCACATAATTAATATAAATGTACAGAATTATTTTATTTAAATAATTCAAGTTTAAGTCCTCGCACCGAGATGGCGTTCTAAGTATTGTTATTATCTATTATTTTTTCTTCAAGTTTATTCCTGGCGAGATTTTTGAATCCGGTCGAAGTTCGCTCGTCACTTTATTTCTGACGTTATAGGCATAGACATACCTCGTGCCTACCTTCATCGCCATATTGGTGGCCAAAGCCTGAACCCGATAGAGCTATCGGCGCGGCGTTTGTTGGCATTTTGCCGATTTGTTTGGGAAAACCAAATATGTTTAAATAAAATATACGACGGCCTCCCCATAAGAGCAATGAGAGGATTTACGTCCCAGTATTGAAGGAGGACAGAAAATCGAGTCGAATGGTTTCAAGACATAGGTTCATCCTTGTTTAGTCAAATCTCCTACAATACAAGGATAGACTTATGTAGGAAATGCATTGAAATTCTATAGCCGTCCTTCAATATCGGGACAGGAATTACGCGGTACCCTCCGTATACTTTATTTTAAACGTATCTGGGGAAAACCCTCTGAGCAGAGGTAAGACTCTTATTTAAACGTAACGTTAAGTAACGTTCCTAATACCTTTTTTCTCTTTGTATAGGGTGTTATTTTATAGTACGCATTTTATTTTATGGTAGCATTTTCTGGTGCCATTTTGTCTTTTTTGTACCTGACATTATTTCGTCCACGTTTGTACCTACATTTCACACCGGGAATAACGAAGGAATCTCCTGAATCCATCTAAATTTTCGATCCTGCCTGTTCAGAAACATCTTATACCACAATCCAGTTCCAGTAGCAGTTCACCACAACCAGCTTGTGACCAGAACGGATAAAAATGCCAGATCATTTAATTTTATATTTATATAATTTAAATTCACTTTAATTCATTAAGCCCTTCAAGCATAGTATACAGGGTGACAATTTGAAAACGAACAGTATTTAATATTGCCTCTACCGATGATAGTATGAAAATTTGGCGAAACAGTCAATTTACATATCAAGGGGGACAATTTTTGAGGCATTTGTTGTCGTGTTACTTTCAACCCCTTGACCCCCATGCACCTACCCCTAAAATTTTAAATAGCAACCCCTCTTTCTTTTACCATTTTTGTGTTTCTTATAGAATTCTACATAAACTAGATTATTTTTTTAAGAATTTTATAAGGAACACAAAAATGGTAAAAGAAATAGGGGTTGCCATTTAAAATTTTATGCAAGTGAAACATGGACGATAACGAAACAAAATGAAAACAGACTAAAACTAGTAGAAAGAAGAATTCTTAGAGGGATATACGAACCAGTAAAGGACAACGCCACACAGCAATATAGAATAAGAACAAACAGATAATTGGAAGAACTATACATCAGGGTCGCTGTTATGTATGGAAACGGTCGATTATTAGGTAAAATATACCGTAAAAAGTAAAATAAAAAAGTTATTAGGCCAGTAAGCGAGGGTTTTAGGGTCCGAATTCTGAACACCTGCACCGATTGACGTGAAATTGTAACAGTCAATAAAGATATATGTAAGAAACAAAAATTACATAGTAGCGATGTGTGCTTTCGCCCTGGGGGTGAGTACCACCCCTTCTCGGGGGTGGAAAATAAGTCACCCATTTTAATTACAAAAATCAATAAAGGGATGAATTCTAAGCAAAAAATGTTCTATAACATTTTTTCAGAAAATTAATATTTTCCTAGTTATTTAATTCATCTAAAAACTGCATATTTTTTTGCGAATTTTTATAAATAACTCGAAAACCTTGCGTTTTATCGCAAAATTCATATAAAGCAATGAAATGAAGCTTTTAGAATAACTAAACGATCCATTTTTTGATGATTACCGTAGGTGTACTAATAGCCGAGTTATCATTATGTAAACGTGATTTTTTATTTTTCGAAAACTAAATTGCAACCTTTTACCGTAAAATAATGGCGAAAGAACACATTTTTCGAAGAAAATGAATATGACCGTTTTTAAAGTGCGTGAAAAGACCTTTTAAGTGCTTTCTTAAAAGTTCGTAGCTTAAAAACTCGCGGAGTTATGATAAAAATAATATGGTTACCTCATTATTTCGGAAAAAAATTAACAACAAAATCTATGACTAAAATCATAAAAATAAAACTAAGTGTAATACATGTACATTTGGCTATATTTATGTCCTAGCAATTGACCCTGCAAGTTCAAGAGGTTTAGAATGCCTAAATTTGGAAAAATGTTGAAAATAATGAAAAAAAATTATTTTTTGTTCTTTAAAAAATGTTAATTTTTTTTACATATCTCAAAAACTAAGCAAGATACGTAAAAAATGCAGCAGAGGAAAATTGAAGGTCTTTTT